GCATTGTGCCATTTGAATTCATGGAGCTGACCTTCCATTTGATTTGATAGTTAAATGTATAATTTTGCAGATTTACATTAGATTTTGCATTTTCAAGATAACTTAATCCAGAAGTTTCAAAATGCTGAAGCTATGGAATTCACCATGGCTAATTTCTTAAAATTTCAAAGTACAGCAGAACAAAATTGATGCATATCCATTCTCAGTCTACCTGAAAATTTCAAATTACTCAACTAATGAGTTCAGGCTTACAAAATTTAACATGAAACTGTATTTTCATATGTCTATGATACAAAAAATATTAGGCTGTACAGTAATGTTTGCTTTCTGTTCCCACAAACCTTATTTTAGTAAGTTTAAGATTTAAATCGATCAGGATTGTCACTGAGACTATAGAGATAAGTTTGTTGGTTAAAATTGACAATTATTATTTTCTTGGACTGCTATGGACATTTTCTTTAGTTGTTGGATAATGGGCAGGGCCTTTTCTTAGAGCACATGCCTTGGTGCAATAGGTCGCAAATTCCATTCCTGGTCAGGAAAGAGGCCATGGTTTCAAATGAGGTATAGATGGATAGAATCAAGATCTTCTGGTTGGACTTTGTGCAAGTCATAGTAGAGGTTTCTTACCCCCTCCCCAATTGTTTATCATAGCAATAAAAAGGCTTTTGTACAGACACACATGCACATACATCACTCTAAATTAGGCTGAAAAATATCCAGAGTAGATGTTTCAGAACAAAAGGACTGCAAGAGGACTTCTAGAACTGAAAGCAAATCCCTGGATTAAACATAGTTATACTTTAGTTCCATTGTTCTATAAGGTTGTTCCCTGACCACAAGCCATTGTTTTTCACCTAACTCTGGCAGGCCTTGAAGTATCAATAAAGTAAAGCTTGCAAACTTGCTGTTTTATCTGGCACTGATTGAAAAGAAAATCACTAGAATTATATCAACTAACCTTGAAATGGCCAGTTTCACGTACATCCAGTTTTTGTTTACTTAAGTCAAGTCTTTTCTCTTCCATATGCATACACTAGATGACTCAAGTTGCTGGAAGCAAATGGCAGAGCTCCCTTCATCTATTAAACTACCACCTAAGCTGGAGAAGGGAAGAACAGACTTACAAAGAAAGGGTTTGTTTACTTATTTAATTCTTAAATTTTGGCACGGAAGAAAGTAGAAATTAAAGCAATTTTTGCTTCAGATGTTTAAAAATGAGCTGAAATCAATCATCTAGTTTTTGGTAAAAGAGGGTAGGGTAAAAGAGGCTAGAGACTTTTGGGTACTAAAGAGATGCAAGTGAACAATATAATTTATCAAAAAATACCATATGACACTGGCTAATTTTAACAAGTTTGAGTCAAGCCACCATTCTGGAATATAGTTTGCCCCATTCATGATGTCAAGGATAGCAGAGACCATATTTAGTGGTGGATCTGTTCTATGTTTTGAAATACTGTTCAGTATAAAAACAGTGAGGAAGTAGAGGAAATTAATTTATTATAATTATCTATTCCATCAATGTGCCACCATGATTCCACTTTTTTATAGCATAGCATGAAAACACAAAAATAATAGTTTGGAAAAGTAAAAAGATAAAAAAATAACTGGATGGTACAGAAGTACAGTGCAGTGGGATAGTGAAAGGCAAATGCTGCTCTACAAGTTAATTTTCTGGAAAAAAAATAATTGCCTGTTCTATTTTAAATCCTGAGATTGGAAACATAAGGAAAGCCAGGGTTATACATGTCAAGATACTCTAATCTTCTCGTGCCACCTATAGGTAGAATGAGAAAATACTAACAATTCCTGACCCAAAGGAGTGGAAATCTATGTTCTGAAAATGGGGGAAAAGTAAGACAAGTTTTGGTAATGAAAACTGACATGGGCTAGGGCTTCATGAACTTCTCTGAACATGGATTTGGAAGAAGTGGTGACACCACATTCTTGGAGAGAATTAAGGTACAAGGGGAAGAGGTTTTCATTTTAACACTACCTTATCATGCTGACAGATAACTGGAAACCTAAACTCCCAAGTGACCAGCTATTCATCCCTGCAATGTGAAAGCTTTGCAGCAATTTGTGTTATTTTTGAAGCAGCAAATCTGCTCAGTGAATCAGGTCCCATCTTCACTGTAGTGGACTTCCAGACTTCAGGTCAGTGGATTTATAGTTGCCTTCAAGGCAGGCTGGAGGGCAAAATATAAAATAGTGCAAAGGGAATATAAAATAGTGGCACCATGAAACAGTATTTATGGACTAGCTTTTATTGATAATGCTTTATTAACTGTGATTCATGGCAAAAATAGCTTTTGGTAAGAGCAATGATTTCAGATTGTCTATAAATTGCCTTGAAGCAATCTTACTCAGGTCCCTAATAAACTTCCATTCAGGGAGCTAATGGGTGAAATCTATTCCTAAGATCCATCATTGGAGCTATACTGTCATCTAGTGGGGATTTTGTATGTTGCTTCTGTACAAGGTCCTATTTTGTCCTCTGTTGATAGAGATTTAAAATATGTATTTGTGACCTCTTTGTCGCAGTTTGTAGATGTTGAACTATTCAGTGGGTGTTTTCAACTTGATAAGGAACAGCACCAAAAACAGCCATCTCATCACCTTGCTGCTCAGTCATCTTCTCAATGCGTGTTGTCTTTTTCATGGACAATTCATTCCAGTATCTTGTAGCACAGGTTCACTTATTTAGCTCTTTTGAAATGGGATGGAACCTAATTTGCCCTCCCATCTTCTTTTAAATACATGTCAAGTTATAATTAGGCCATAGATGTCAGGCCAATCAAGTCATTACCCAAGATGCTTGGAGGAACTAAGGGGATGAACTAGTAAGCTTGGTGGGCTCAATGTTACTGTGTCTTAGACTATGGGGCTGAAAAAACTTTCAGCAGTATTGGAACTTTTTTTAGATTGGTAAACATGCCAGAGTTATCACACCAAACTGAAGGATTCAAATTTTCAGGACCCTAGTCTGGTAAATTATCTGATTAAACATGGTTCAGTGATCACACATGCATTCAAATCACATGAATACCACTAAAGGCTAGAGAATCTATTTTTTTGTTTCCCCTTTCCCTAGGGAATTCCTATGTAGGGGGGGGTATTCTGACACCAAAACAAGCAGCCACTCGTTAACCCAAACCCCACACACCCTCAACCCCACCACCACACACCCCCAATCCCCCCCCCTCAGATCTCTATAAATACCCACAAAAGGGTCACACCACCCTGGGCACAGAGAGAACTGCTCCTGTCTGTGCTCCTGCACTCTGAAGATGCCGGTCACAGGTGCTGGCAAAACATTAGGAAACAAAACTACAAGAACACGGCCACACAGCCTGGAAGACCCACACCAGCCATCGTATTCCGGCCATGAAAACCTTTGACAATACAAAGCCTA